CAGTTTACAAGCGAATGTGCTGTTAGCTTACCTTGGCATGTATCCAACAGCGCCGCCGAACTCTGCTTCGTGCTCTTCGCCTCGCCTCCTTCCGGCTACTTTTGTTTGACTTGGGGGGAATGATATATTTTGCTATTTTTACATTAGAAAATCGAATTTTTACATTTTTACACTAGTTTTCACTTACGTTAAGTAAAAAGGGACGTTAAAAATCAACACTGTCGTACGAGAGCATGCAGCAGCTGGGAATGCTGACAACGAGACCGTGGGCGACCACCTTGCATAAGACGGCTGCTACCTGCTCGATCTGTCATACCGGGAGCTGCCAAACGACTCGTCAAACTCGCCGACAGTAGCGATGCGGTGGACAGCATCTGTCGTTGCTGGGCCGCGTCCTGCTTTGCAACGAGCACGAGGACGACACAATCACAAACCCCAAGGCTGACGACGGCCGCACCGTCATGACAACGAGCAACAATGCATGCGCGGTTGCTACATCGTGCACCAGAACGGCATGGTGTTGTCAAGCTAGTACATGGTTCCAGGTGAGATTGCGGCGACGATCGAGGTGCAGATGTTGGTGTGGCACGACATGGCTCAGGAGAGGTAGTACGGTCTACAGACGTTGAAGCATTTGGTGGGGCAGGGCGAGGACGGGGAGCTGGTGGTAACGGATGTGACGTTTGACTACCTGTGGTTGTGCATGGAGACGGGAGAGATAGTGGGAATGTGCGGCGACAGTGACAACGACAGTGATGCTCTGCGGTAGCTCATACCGGCGTGGCGTTTAGCGGTGCCGAGATGTTGGTGGTGGATCCGTTCACACGCATGCCGAAGATAATCCAATCGGTGGTTGACGTGTGCCACAATGTCACTCCAACTTTGGCGACTTCCTTCGCGTCCGACAAGTTCCTGACCATGTATGGGCTCACTCATTTGTGTGCTATGGTTGATCGTGTATAGTATGCAGCGTGTAAACATGTGTGCATCAATTGCTCCCCTTCTTGCTTCAATGGCTTAATAATACGGTACACATAGCTATCTTTGGAAGACGGGCAATGCCTGACACTTTTGTAGCTGGAAGCGCTCAAGCTTGGTTGGCGAAAACAGGATGTAAAGCATAGCCCAGCATAAAGAGAGGTTGTTTGATCTGCGCCAATTGATGCTCAACACATTGTATGAGCTCATCAGATATGCCCGCATTATCTCGAAAACCGAGGAAAATATATCGGTAGGAAATCACGACGTCGCCAACAGTGTTTTTGTTTTGCTGTAGCTGATAGAATAGAAACAAAAAAACGCTATAACAGCTTCGGCACTTTTCAATCCCACCCAAAAGTCAGTTTCACCCAATACACGAAGACTGGACGGGAAATCACCACTCTTTCCGTATTGATGTTGTAGCATTTGTTGGATAGTTTTTACTCGCAGAAGGGGGCAAAGCAGCCTTGCGTCGGGAGACGCTGGTACCACAGAATCTAGAATTCAGATTTTGTGTGATTATTGTCAAATTTTGTGTAAGTTTGGTGGACCAGATCGAGCCGGTTTTCAGTGGTTTGGGTTGAACTTTGAGACAAAGGAAGATAAATTCCGAGATAAATTTCCTTGCCTGATTTTTCAAAAAAAAAAAATGGCGCCAGATATTAGTGGCTGTCATTCGCCGATCCTCTCCCTCAAGCACAAATACAGCGCCGAACCGCAGATCGCCATGGTAAGTGATGCAACATGCCTGCATTTAACCTACCGAAACTAACACTACTTTAACACAGGTGCAAGATGGTCCTTCGCGATATTCGAATGCAGGTGTGAGTGCCACAACGGAGCTGGAACCCAGCGCAAGGAAGCGGAAACCTGCAAGTCCTATTCTCCCACCGCTTCCGGTCTACAATCAATCACTTTCGGATGCTCATAAAGCGGAAAAGGTTGCCCGTTCTCGCGTGGACACAGAGGAAACGAAACCGGCAATTCAAGGACGGCAGAAGCGCACTCGATACGCAACCGTCATGCTGAGATATGGGGAGGAAGATGTCGCAAGAGGCAGCGACCACCAGAGAGAGCAGGCAAAACGGGAAAGAGCCGACCTTCGAGAAATGTTTGGCATTGACACAGATTCAGATCCGGAAGACGACCCTGAACAGGACGAGCGTTCTAGCCAGGAAGACGAGGAACGCTGACGAGGAGGAGAGTACTTATGAGGACGAAGAAGAAGCTGAAGATGAAGACAGTACCAGTGAGAGAGGAGATGGAGATTCTAAAGACGACGGAGTTGCTGCTGCGAGTGATGATGGGAGTGCGAGTGATGATGGGAGTGCGAGTGATTCCGACAACAGCGATGATGGCAGCAAAGGCTCTGAAGCACCAGCAGAAATCTCACCGAATCCACACCCAAAATCCGACCTCCGGGTGAAGAGCGCAGTGCCTGCCTGGTTCTACGGATTCGAGAGCTCCTTCGACTCCTGGGATAGGTTCCACGCGGTATTCGACATTTTTCAGTTGGAAACGTTTCAACGGTCACAAAGCGCACAAGCACGTCTGTTGCTGCTCGAAACAAACAATCGTTGCCAGTTCGAAAGCCAGGAAGGTTGCATGGAAAAAGACAAAGAAGGCAGTAACGTTGGTACCGGACGAGTGGGTGACTTATTCAAAGACACTGGTGTGCACACACGGTCAGCCTTACGAGCCGAAAGGCAAAGGCAAGCGCAACCACAACAACGTCCGCGACACCAACTGCCCGGCAAGAGTGAACCTGACAGTGACTGCCTCTATCAGTGGCAGGTGGTACTTACGTGCAAACGCCTCTGGAAGCCATAATCACGCGGTGAGCAAGCACACTTACGAAGGTTACACCGAGAACAGGACAGTGAAGGATCCTCAGCTAAAGAGTGATGTTGCAGTGCTGCGCAAGGCTGGGGCTACAGCAAAAGGCATACTGCAGTACCTCCAGGAGAGAACAGGTGAACTTGTTTAGTGTGGATTTGGTATGAGGTATTCAGTCTAAATTTTGTGTGTTTTTGGTATGAATTCTGTGTGATTTTGGCAGGCAAGAAGACGAACTTAAAAGATGTTCACAACATGGTGCAGAGGCACAACGCTTCAGTCCAAGCTGGGCTTACGGATGCTCAGCGTGCATTTGCTGTTCTCGAGGATTTTACCAGACAGAGGAACGGTAACGCTGCTCAGGTGCTCGTGGACAGTGAGACGAATATTGCACGGATTGCTACGTTCCAGACGGCAGGGATGAAACGTTTGTTCAAGGCTTTCCCTGAGACTGTTCTCGTATACTCCACACACACAATACAACGCGAACCGTTACAAGCTTTTTAGCTTCATGGCTCACGACGTGTTCGGGAAGGTATCTGTGTAGCATACGTATAAGTTGTATGGTTAAGCCTTAACCGACTTTCAATGTAGGGACAATATGTTCATCATGCCCTTGTAGATAGCGAGGAGAAGGCCAACTTGAGGCGTGTGGCAGAAATCTTTAAGGAAAATAATCCTGAGTGGGGTAAGATTCAACTTTTCATGTCGGACAAGGCTATATACGAGAAAGATGTGCTGCGGGACGAGTTTCCTGATGCACGCCAGCTACTGTGCCAATGGCATGCGCTTACGTGGCTGAATAAGCTGGTTACGCGCTTGGCGCCTGGAGTGAAGGAGGACGCCAAGAGTCTTATGCGTGATCTCGTGTACGCAAAAAGTAGTGCGGCTTACGAGGAATTGAAAGCCACTCTTCCTCGGCTGCTTGGAGATAACAGCTCGCACAAACTGTACAAAACTTTCGTGGACAACTGGGATCTGTTCCAGGATGAATGGGTAACCTACAAGCGTGGTGACGTTCCACATCTCACGAACAATACGAACAACCGTATCGAGTCGCAATGGGGAAAATTAAGGACGTTGTCGAGGACTCTTACTCCATTGACCAGCTTCTTTCAACGTTGATAGCTTTGCAAGTATATGCGGAGGAGCAGTATCTGGCGGAGTATCACCGTGTCGGCAGTCGCCCGACCAGGGAAAGTGAAGATGAAGAACTGACAAAGCTGGATATTCATATTAGACCGTTCGCGCATGAGTTACTATCGAAGGAACATTATCATGCTACCGGCACCCGAGCGGACTACACTGTTCAGCATGACGATGGAGGCATGGCGACGTTGACGAGTGCAGTGTCAGGTGGCACCCACGAGGTGAATACGCGGGTAAGTTTTGGATTTTGTGTAGTTTCGGTGCTTTTTGCAAAAATTCGGTATTCATGCTAATGTTGGTTTTGGTGTTGAAGACAAGCTCCTGCAACTGTATCTTCATGAAGACCTGCCTGTTGCCCTGCCGACATGTGATGTTTGTGAGAAGTACGTGCAACTTCGAAACCTGTATTCCTCCCATAAGGTATTTTGCAACAAGGTGGATCCGCCATAGCCCTGAAAATGACATTGACGAGGGCGACGTATCTACGGGAGGGCTAAAGCAAAAGGTTTTGCCTTCGGTGCCTAAAGGCCGCGCGGTTTCGAGTAGTAACAAGTACATCGAAGCCAAGGTCATCACAGAGAAGATCGTGGACCGATTGGCTCTTCAATCTACACGAACATTTCGCGTAGCCCTAACGTGGCTCGAGAACTTTTTCGAGGTACTAAACGCTGGTGAAGTGGTGAACTTTAGCGAGCGTGGTAATCCTGTGTTTCCCAGACTCTATCAAGTTTCGCCAATGGAGGGTGCACAACTATCTCAAATACCTCTCGAAGGCGTGGCTTCTCCAATCCATATCGACCAAGACCTGGTGCAAGTGTACGGGAGCCAGAGAAACGGTGAAGCCAGCCGTGGTGGAGTTGTACGCGAACTCGATGCTGTCGGCGAGTCCACGCCGTCCTTCGAAACCTCAACGATTACCAAATCTATACCAAATCCACCCAAAGTCTCACCGAATTCACAGCAGACGCACCTCACAAGTGTCGCCGCAGTGACGTGGTCATTCGCAAAGAGACAGGTAATTAATGGCATGACCAAGGCGCAGAGGAAGAGGGCGCACGCTCGAGCGGAAGCTGCCAGAGCACGTGAATTGACAAATAGATACAGAGAGGATAAAGCTTCCAAGGTAGTCACTTTTGACGATGTCGCCGAACTGCTGGACGGACCATACAGTGCCATGAAGGCGAAGGCAAAGATCGATGCGTTTGATCTCCCTACTGTTGAGATACAAGGAGCGCTCAGTGTGCGCCCCAAGGATGTTGACCAGGAGGTTCCAGTGATCAAAGCAATACCGCAAGCGCCTGCAATCGTTGCAGCCATTGAAAAAATCAAGATCAAGCAAGATATCGATCTTCTGGCGTATTGGCCTGACTACGGATACGCTATTTTCGATCAGCTGGATACCATGGCTTCCCTTTTAGAAGCTCGATCTCGTTTCAGCTTGGTGGCGAGAACAACGGAGTGGATTGATGGCGTGGAGTGGTGTATTGCAGATCTACGTGAGCCCTTGGCGGATACGAGCAACGTCACAAAGGTACTGTGCTCACAAATTTATACCGAATTCACACCAAAACTTACCGAATCTGTGGTGTTTGCAGAACGAGCGCAAGTGGTATGTGGAAGTTCTGAACCTCAGCGTTAATAAAACCCCCGGGGAGGTTGTGTCGGGGTACCAGCTTCTCGACTTCCGCGAAAACCTGTGGCTTCATACGGCGTCGATTCAAGTGTCGATGTTGGTGCTGCGCGATGAGTATCGCGGCGTCGGCATCATTAACCCTAGCTATCAAGACTTTAAACTCCCTGATCAAAGGCTGCGTACGGCTGATGGTTTTCGTGCAAGTGACCCCAAGAACGAGCGAGTCATATGCATCTTCCATATTGATCTGCACTGGGTAGCATTTCTCGTTGATCGAAACATTAATCCCAAGACAATGAAGGCGACATGTTACATGTTCGACCCTATGCAATCCTCCCACAACTACAACATCATCGAAAAGAGCGTTCGAGCGACGATTGAAGATCTGCTGCAGCTACAAGATCAGGTTATCTATGAGAAACTGAAATGGTGCATCCAACAGGATGGCAGCTCGTGTGGAGTATGGTGTATCGCAGTCTTGGAGATGCTCCTCCCTAAGAAGCCGTGGGACAAATGCATTTACGACCTCCTGCCTTATTTACGGATGCGCTTCCTACACAAGGCGCTGGTTTTCGTTGAGAGCAAGATTTAACTTCAACTTCAATACATTGTGTTTTCTGTGAAAAACATTACCAAATTTAGTTACCAAAATTATACAGAAAGAAAATAGGACTCGCAAAAAAAACACCTAAGTCCCAGAATCCCCAAAAATAGACTTTGCTCTTTATTACTGCTCCATAATGGTGTATATTCGGAACACTAAATAGGAAAATAAAATATATTTACCCTAGTTAATGGGTAAGTATTTTACATCTGTTTTAATAGCTGTAGAGCCAGGTCTTGTGCACCGTTGTAAATTGATTTTTGTCCCTCTAGATTCTGTGGTAGGAGCATCGTCCCCTTGCGTCGAGCTCCATCAAGTCGCGCAAAGCAATTGTGACCCCAATTCTCGACCATAAACCTTCATCATGAGATGTTGCGCACGCTTTAGCCACTTTTAGGATCCTGATAGACACAATTGACAGCGCTGGCAGCTTTTCCAGCTACCTCCCGAAACGTTGACTTCATAACCGACTTGACCACGTTGTTGATACCATACGCAAAGAAAATGACGAAGACGATGTGAGGTCACCGAAGAGTCAAAAATATGTCGCACACGGTCGCTTTGTCCAGCATTGTCGGTAATTATGGCACCAATATTCCCCAATATTCCATCCTTCTGACATACTCTTCTTTACAGCCTTCTCCAGATCCTTTGCTATCGCAAGTCCGTCGTGGCGATCACCAAGAGCAGATAGCACACATGTTAACGTTACGCCAAATACTGTCAGCTGTATACCCAAATGATGATCCTTTGAAATGTTCATCTACACGTCTGACGAGAGATTAACACGGCCACCTATATTTGGTTGAATACTTCTTAGAGCTTCTGTCTGCCAGCTGACCGGTCGATCCTCCTGCCGCATAAATGTTCATCCGATCCCTTTCTGTGGACGACACCAATCTCCCATTGCAACACTGTCATATTATGTGCCAATCACCTCCTTAACAAAAGAGAAATTCTGGAGGTTTCCAGAACTGTCAAAACTTATGACTTCCGAAGCTGGAGTCCGACGCAGTGCCTTTCCGAAAATTGCACCTAATTGACCACTTCCCTTATGGGGACCCATTCGACACCATCAGCCTGGGCCACTAGGGCGCTTGTTGGGCCACAGACACGAACATATTTGAGCCGTCAATTGTGCAGCTATCACAATGCTGCCGCAGCTACTGCACAATGCAAATCGCGTGCTAGACCTCTGCGCTGCAACTAGTCAGGTTGCTACCAGCGCTCTAGAATGCAACAAAGAAGTCGATACCGAGCTTCTTGATTCAGCCCCCCCCCCCCGAGCGCGATGGATGTCATCGAACGGCGTTGAGCTTGTGAGTCCTACGAGGAAAACATCCTTGATGCTGCTGCCGCCAGCGCCTCCACCTTAAGGGCAACAATATATCTGTAATTGCCAGCTCATCCACTTTCTTCGTGAGGATACGCGCGCAGTCGACCACCACGTTGCCCTGTCCGATGACGACCACAGTCTCGGCGGGCGCTCCAGGTCGCGAAACACAACAGCCTACCTGAAGCTTGACTCAAATTGAATGTCTTCTGGCACGACCGTTTCCACGATAACTTACTCCAGTTTATCCGCAAAAGTGAAGAAAAACTTGCGGGTATGCTAAAAAGGACTATTCAAAAGTCTATATAGGCGCTGCAAATTTTTAGCATGTGTTAGTTCGGGGGTATGCATTTTTTTTGAAATAATGCTAAGATCTGAAGGGCCTCTTCAGCCAAAGCACGAGTACCTTATTGTTTCCTCGACCTAATATCATTAGTAGCGATGCCCATTCGTCTTCGCGTCGCACCTTCTCTCTGTTTGCGAACCTTACAGTTTTGGCACGCGTAAAATCGACAATAGCACCAATTAGATTGTTACTGTATTTTGTGGTTCATATGTAGTCATGAACATGTATCCGAGGTACTACAGTGTAGTTAGTTACAGGTAATAAACAAAGGGACCAGATCTCTATCCCAGCGTCGCGTAGCCCTAGTCGTATTTTGCAGCTGCAGTAGAAACGGTTGTAGTATTTTCGTTTAATGAAGGCTGTGAACAGCGTTCCAACAATTTTATTTACTTAGTATAAGTTTTGGACAGTTACAAGAAAATTGTTTCATCGTGTAGGACACTCCGCAGCGCAGTGGAGGAAGGGTTGACCTACACAAAGCCAGTTAGCCATGCCTAAAGCGTCGGCGTAGCGGGCACCCAGAGCGCTAGTCAGTATCAACATGACAAAGAGGTGGGTTCGAGTGTGTCATGGGATCGCGAATGTTACAACCCTGTGTCAAATCACTTGAAAAGGACGTGAACATTCAAAACTTAAGGGATGTCGCAGCAGCGACGTACACGCCGCTTGTTGGTTTACTCTGGAACGGTGGAGTGAGCTTCGAGTCCTGAAGTCACAGCTGAACGCTTTTTCGCGGGGGTTAGCGCAGGTGTACCGAAGGACTCCACTGCACGACGACTTTTTGACGGAGTCTTGGCAGGCGTGCCGAACGATTCGGTAAAAGCGTACCCAGTGTCACCTTGGAGCTTCATGCTCGCGATGCTATCAAATACCCACTTTAATGTGTACATACGGTTAGTTAAGCAATCTTGCACCAGTTTAGCTGTACGTAAACTGACCTTCGCGGTGACAACTCGAATACCAGTCCGCTGAGCTCGTCGGAACAGCGACGCATCGCCACAAATACAAATGTCTGCAACTGAAACCTGTTTGGAAATCTGAAATTTCAATAAAACAACAAAAGATCAGTGAATTTTCATCACACAGCGTCACATGAATGGCTTACCTCTCCGCCTGCGACTTGAATAAGAGACTGCAGAACTTCACGCGATGGTTCGACGGTCGAACCAACGAAAAACTTGGTGCCTTTGAAGATCTGCCGAGACTCGGGGTGCTCACGCGAGAACTTGTTGGCAAACATGGTCAGTTCAAAGTCTTCTTCTGGTAGCCACCGTTCTTGTTCTAGGGACGAAAACGCCCAGTCTTCAGTCACAATCCAAGCGCCACGGGCAATCGCAAAAAGCACTTTAATGGTGCGTTTTGTATCTCTGCCCACGATAAGATGCGTCACGCCTGCAGCGTAATCCACACTCTTGACCACACGCGCCTTGCGATATCCGGATTCATTGGCCATATTGGCGTCGATTGCGTGAATCGCACATTGGAGAACCCCACGCGCTTCTGCACTTACTCCGGTGATACCAAACACGTTACGGGGACACTTTCGCGGTGTTTTTCTGCTTGTTGTGCTGGAGAAGCTCATCGCCATAGGAATCGGAGTGGAGTTTACCTCACGGTGCTTTCGCATGAACCCGGAGACTGAGCCAGGAGTTACCAGCTGCTTGTCCACGGTGCTTCCCTTGTTATCTCGTCGCGCTTTCTTGACTACTGGGGTCGTCAGACTACTGGTGGAGACAGGAGGACGTGCACGCTTCTTCGCAGCACTCTGTGTGAGTTTCATGGCACTTGACGGGGCTTTTGTCGCTGGTACTGTCCGCTGTGCTTTCTTCACTGGAGGCTTTGGCATGTCGATCGATACTGAAGCACTCGCCAATGAGGAACGCGTTGTCTGCTTGGGTACAGAGCTCCGTGCTGCTGGACTTTGAGTTCTTGATCTGCTTGCAGGACTGGGAGTTGCGCTTTTCGTAGCAGACCGCGCTCTAGATGCTGCTGGACTTGGTGTTCGAATCTTGGCAGCTGAGCTTGCAGTCGGTCGCGTTAGTGAGCGTGGAGTCCGTTCAAGCGATGGGCTACTGAGAGGTGTCTTCAGACTGTTAGCAGAGCCTGGAGTTCTCTTCTTCTTGGGTGTCGGCGTCTTCGGCTTCGGTGTAGCAGGAGCTGATGCAGTAGCCGGCGTAGCTGGAGTCTTGGGCGAGTCTACTGTGCTCGCAACAGTTGCAGGCGACGCAGTCGCCGTACTATCAGCACCTGGCGACTTCGCGGAGCCTCTTGATGCGTGGCAATCAGTGCAATATCTACGTGACCGTGGATTCGAGCACCCACACGCTGCACAAGACCAAATTCCAGTCTTTAGCGTCAATCCGCTGCCATACGAGAGCGAGTTCCTGTTGCGACGTCGTAGTTCTCGTGCTGTCGGCCTCTTGTCGTCAGGTGTACCTATATCGAACTCCCCGTTGCTGGTAGTAGGTGTACTACTCGAGCCTGACAAGACCACGGGCTCCTTGAGTGGAGCAGGAGACGGTTGACTCGCTTGACTGTCCTGGATCACAATCACATCGTTCGTCTTCACCCTCTCGTCCTCATTCTCCGACTCGCTCTCCGCTACAATCCCACTCGCTTGAGACGCTGTGACTTCGTCCTCATCCTGTTGTGTCGGTGGCCCATTCAGCGTCTTCCTGCGCTTAGCCGACGAGCTGACACTCTTGGGGCGAATAGGCTGTTTCTTAGGTGTACTGAACTCTGTTTCCGGCACCGGCTCGGTACCCAGCATCTTCAGAATGGCATCTGACGTCACTGGCTCCATCGACAATGCGCGTCGCTTCCTCCTGCCGCCATTCAGCGCCTTATTCACCTTAAAATTCGACGTTGGCGCTGTTGTAGCCTCCTTCTTGTCTTCTGTCGTAGCGCTTGTTGTCTTGGTGTCCGTATTCTCTTTATTTTCCGTCTTAGAAGCCTCTGAACCGAGCGACTGTCGTCTCTTGAGCTTGGGTTTAACTGTACTCGCACTGCTGTCTATAATATTGTGCTGACTTACCGGGAAGAATGGTCGTTCGTCCATTCGCTTCTTACTGACGTAGCAGGCGTTGACCCAGAGCTGTGAGACGATCTTTAGCTCGTACCTTGTGGCCGCTGCAGCCATAGAACCGCCGCCTGCTTGCCACTTGGCGATTTTGGTCTTCCATACCGGCGTAAAGTGGCTTAGTACCATGTGAGTGAGCTTGGGAGTGAACCGCTTGACAGTGGAGGCCCCCAGCTCACGTAGTTTACGAGCCACGACATCGCTGCAGTCGATCTGAGCGTCAGCGCCCACGCGGACGTCCACCATGGCCACGACGCCCTTTAATGGGCCAGTATTACGAGGTCGACGGCGGGTTGACGCAGTGGACGGAGCCGTGGACGCTGTGGCGGACAGAGAGGCGGTGGACGAAGCTGTGGACGTTGTAGCGGCTCGAGGAGACGCACGTGTGGTCATTCGCGTGGTGCGCGGAGCCGCCGAGAGGGAAATGGACACGGCAGCAACCATGAGATGGAGAGACTGAGCCCGCCTTGTTGCCCCTAGAGATTTTCAAATGTCGACCTGCGCGCGGAATTGAGAAACAATAGTACAGAGAAGTTTCGTATAAGTACGACTGCAGAAGTGGTGTCAGAGTGAAGGTTGATGTGGCGCACGTAATATGATGTTGAAGTGGGTCATTTGGCTCACTTGCAAATACGCAAAGAATTCCATCTAGCGCACCTCGTTGCATTTCTCACTCAGCACTCTTCTCTATGTCCGAGACAAGGGATCACAACCCAAGAGAACGGTGAACGTCGCTGGCAGGGGCACAATGGGCCTCCGCGATCCTTTCGACGCGAAGCTGGTGCGTACGCTGCACGAAGCGTTCGCAGCTAAAGAAGCCGAACAACGATTACCTACCGAGCTGGTAAAGAAGGAGAGGAAGCACGTGTTCTGGCGGCAATTTGTCATCTCGAAGGCAGCGATGCTCACGGGTCACCGCTAGAACTGGGCACAGCAAGATGAATAGCATTAATACATGTACGATATGCGATAAAGAGCGTGTTACGATGGAATTCGTTGAGGTGGCTGCTTCTGAAATTTAGTCGAATGCGTTTAACTCTACAAACCCGTCAACCCCTCGTTCCTGGATGCAGGTCACAAAGTTCACAAAGAACTCTTCGATCCTACTAGTATCTTCGAAACGACGTTCGCTTGTGAGAAAACCTTGAAATCACGCCACAGTGGCAAAAGTCGGGTGTGTGACACTGAGGGGCAGAGTATCGAGTGCGCTTGGCGGAGCCTAAGGTTTCTAAGAAGCGAGATGACGAACCATCGAATATTCACAGTTCGAATATTCACAATGCAGTCCTACGAGCTACAGGCATAGGAGACTTTGCCTTGCATTATTGCAATACGGTACGTGAGAGTACCAATCCGAAGGAACAATAAAAACGAGATTTTGGCAGCCAAATATGTGGATGTTCAGGTTTTTAAAGTCCTTTTGTCGCCATACAAATTCCTTTTATTAATACGAACACTTTCCTGTTGAGTGCTGTAGCTATTCCATAAATCAAATAAACCGAAGAACAGTATCGCCTCGATAAGGCTAGAGTCCTATACGCGTCGGTCTAGCGTCGCCCCAACTGCACAAACGCGTGCGAACCGACGAGCTGGGCCATGGTCGAGCGCTTCCGTTCAGCCTCGTCCTCCTCGGATGCCGGCTCAGCCTTGGTCTTCTTGCCTGGAAGCAGTGACTTCATCTTTCTTGAGAATTTCGAATCTCGACGCTGCTTCATCGCGACGGTGACTTCGGCAGCCTGGTTGTCGGTCTTGTGGGTATTGTTGTCTTTGCTTGCCTGGGTCTTGTCGTGCAGAAACTTGAGGTTGCCGTGTGTGTTCACAGCGAGGGCGAAGCGAGTGTGCGCGTTCATCGTGACAGGTTAGCTGGCTGGAGTCTCGGGGCTGTTGAGCTCGATGCAAATTGGAGAGTGAGAAGCCCGCGCCGCTCGAAGCACTTCCACTCAAGCTATACCATCATTCGTAGCCGCTGTGAAGGTGCAAAAGTTATCGAATGAGGAGAACTGAAGTTGCTTCGAGGAATCCCTGTCGCCGATTCCAAGCACCCAGTCAACAAAGTCAGCGGTAGCTACAATATGCGGCACAAGCGACGCCTCAAGATCGGGTATGCTGTATGTACCGTGTAACTTATTCGATTTGGCAGGAACATTGAAGCGCAGGAGTGATGGTCCTGTACCACAGCTACTGTGAGAATGCACGTCGCGGCCTACAGCAAAATTGTACCTGTATGTATCGGCACTCTCGACGCTTGTTGCTAGCTAGGAAACTGATGTCAGCGGGTAAGTCGAGGACATTTGAGATGCAGGTGGCCATTGAGTGGTTTAGAAACTGGAGTGACAGTTTGTTTGGTAATAAGGCTCGTTTGAATTCTTCTTCGTGCGACCCGAATTCTCTGCTAACTCTAACGCTGCTTACTAGTCTATCTACCTATCGACGAAGTCCAGTACTGACGAATGCTCTTGCCTCAATAAACTGCCGGTAGAAGGCGCTCTTCCTCGCTGGCTGATCGGCCAGGTCCTGTTCCCGCCGCTCCGTCTTGTTGCTGGAGAACAGCTCTTTCATCTTGAGCGAAAGTCTTGTCCGTGTTGAATTACGAGGTTTCGAGAGGGCGATGTCGGTGGTTCTTGTGGTCGTCCTTGCGTCGGTGGTGGCCGTCTTCTCGCGGATGTACATGAGTGTTGCTGGGTTGCTGAGAGGAAGCGCGTTGCGCGTGGCCATCATTGAGGGGTTCATGGCGTGCGATGTAGCTATTGCTTGGGGGGTTTGATGTTGTTGGCAAAATTGCAAATAATCAAATAATCAACAGAGTGCAGTCGCTGACAATCACTCGTCTTCAACTGTACATACATGCATTCTCGGCGGTGCTGGGGCAAAGCCCAACAGCTTGCATCGTGCACCACCACAGCGGACAAAGACCAGTCAAGCTTGGACTCAAGACAGCCAACCCGTAGGAAGGCGCGCAGAACTATCTCTCTGGGGCTTCTATAATGTTGCGATCTCTCTGGCCCAGAGTCTGAGGCATCTAAAAAGTTACGAACAGCTATCCACAAAATGCCACGTTGACGGAGGAGTGTTCGTAATACGGCTTCTCTCTCAACGCCCTCTCTTGACGATCCGTTATCCTGTATATTTACTGCCTAAACGCTGCGTATACTGGACAGCGTTCTGCTGGTACCTGTATTTCATTTACCTGAGCCAGGGTGCAGTCACCTTACATGCAGCCGACAGCTAACCTCACACACACGATCTGTAGATTACGACCAACGCCGCGTGCAATGCAATCATGAAACTATTTAATATCTGCTTGTACCATGTACTGGAAACCATACTGCAGCACCGCACAGCCCTGCTCCTGACAATAAAACATCCATGTAGATATCCGCACGCATTCTGCTGTAGAGTGTTTGTGCGTGGTACTCGTCAGGATGAAAAGTACTACACTACACTCCGTCACTGCTTTCGTGGGTCGCGGTGCCCACTTGACCGCCCTCTCAGTGTTCTCCTATGACAATATCCACTTCCTTTAGCCGGAGCCTCTACCTCACTTTACAACTTTTTCCGTTCTACGCAAGTTCCTGCCATGGATGCCAACGACAAACAGTCTTCTTCCACCCCCATGGTCAAGCCTGGGCTCTCCATTGCGTCCGCGACCGGCACTGGAGCCAAGTTCGATCAGAAAGTGATGCTAAATTCCAACCAAAAAGGTGGCGACGAGTTATCGAAGGAGACATCGTCGCAGAGAGAGGCATTGGCGAAGCAGTTTGTTGCTTCACAAGCTACGATGGTTATGGCGAAGCCGGCGATTTTCCGTCGTTGATTCTTAGTCGCTGACAGCTAAGCACAATCCTTAGTACGAGATACTAGCCGATAATGTGTCGCTGTGACACAAAAAAATGAATATAGTGAGGCTATATCTGAGCAATTACCGCTCTCGTAACTGAACTTCTTTGGTGATATCGTTCATGTTTTCACTAAATAGTTTTCCAGCCGGTAAATACCAAAAGATATCTTCCAACGACACACCGATTATAAATATACACATCGGTTCCCGAGGTTTGGTATGGACCGATACATTTTCGTTACCCGCGCGCACTTGAGGACCCAAGCAGTTCATTTCACTGAGGTGGAGTCTAGACGATTCTGCTACAGAAGTTGTACAGCTCATTGTGATCTCGGTTGAGGTGTTGCTTTGGGATTGGACAAATGGAGATTATGATACGGTAACAATGTAATCATACATTACAAGCACGTCGAGATTAATACACCTATTGCAGCCCGACGGGTGTCCAAGGCTGTGATCTCGCTCCCGATCATCGTATGCCGCATCTCGGAGCGTTACAGTTTGACGTCGTCGTCTACTGGTTCCGAAAGCAATTCAAACATATTTACAGTAAACGTAAGTAACATGTGAGGTGCTCGCCAACTCTTTTATTATACTGTACTGTATTTTTAGCTAGAGCTGATTCGTCACACTCAATGCATTGCATTACGCAGGTGCCTAGGGACAAAGCGTTTGGGTTTGCCTCATTATCAAGCACACTTCTTGCAGCAAACACGGAATCAAGACACGACGAACCCATCCATGATGGCCACGTGCAATGCACCCCCACTTAGCGACTCGGCAACGCACAAGTACATGTACGAGAAGACGGCTGCTATCGAAGCTATGACGATCACAAACATGTCCGATATCTCCTTCTCGAAGCTTTGCGATTGGAAAGACTTTCGCGTAAAATAAAGGCGATACCCAGCAACAAAACGAAACGGGGACAAGATCCGGCCGATACGCCGGCGAGGAAGAACGCCTTGTACCGACAGTATATCGAGGCAAGGGCATTCGTCAGTACTGGACTTCGTCGATAGGTAGACTAGCATCGGTTGATATATTAGCGCTACTAGCAGTAGCTTGAGGCCGCACGAAGAATTCAATCGAGCATTATTACCATACAACAATGTAGCGCTGTAATCAACAACAAAGGAAATTATCACTCGCCCTCAGCTTCGGAACTGCTTAATGGTCACCAGTGTCATCATGCCCCAACTAACACGCTGTCGGTGCTGCCAACTAGGCACCAACCATGTGCTGAGAACGCTGCAGGATCATCACTCATGCGTTTTAAGTATAACTTTTGGGGTATACAACTTTCTATGCGGTACAATAATTTTCATACAGCAAACCAGTTCTTAAAGCGGCGTGCTTCCGTATTGACATTGTGAGCAAAGCTTACTGAGCAGTTAAGCTATGCATTGCGGTCTGTGGCGACGGAACCGCAGCACGTCGGAATGAATATGGCTTTGTCGCTAAAAGAGGGTGCATTGCACGTGGCCATCATGGATGGGTTCGTCGTGTCTTGATTCCGTGTTTGCTGCAAGAAGTGTGCTTGATAATGAGGCAAACCCAAAC